TGATACGGATAAACTCTAAAATATCAAACAAAAAGTATATAGTTTTAAAAGATAAAGTTTTTTAGATTTGAAGTTAGGTTTAAGGACTATTAGCTTACCACAAACATTGAACATAATAAAATGATCAGCAATACAGTGTGTTTTAACGTTTGATGCTCATCTGTATCGGTTGGAAATTCTAAAGGTTCAAGACCATTTCTTGTTTGCTCCTCATAACGTTCAATCATATTTTGACAATTTTGTCTTGATGTACTCGGTCCACAGTCAAACGATGGACTACACATTGTCCGTGCAGCATGATTATGTCTGAAACTGTAAAATTCAAAGTTCGACATAAAATACTTTATTTTAAGAAAAAAAAATATTTCGTTTCATCTTCTCTGCCATTTATATCAATGTTTTATTTTTAGTAGTATGAATTAAGAAACTATAAATCATTCAATTATAATTTTTAATTGATGGTTACAATACAACTATTTCAAAGCTTGCCCTAAGTAATCATAAATTTTTTTGGTTTGCAGTTTAAGATATAGCTCTTCCACTAAAAATACCTTCAGTCTTTCGCCAAATATATTTGCACAACATTAGCTTTGTGCCATCGCAGTACACTCAAATGTATAATCCCGCTCAAATTTAGATTAGTACAACTGCACAGCAGTACCAATTTACTAAAAAAAAAAGTTGTTGGATATCTTCTATGCACGTTTTTAAAATATAAATTCTAGATACTTTTTACATAAAATGGTAGACGGTGGACTTTCAATTTAATGAAATATATAATGTCAAGGCCTTTAGTTATTTAAAATTCATTTCGTTTGTTTTATTACATATCATTATTATAAAAAACATTTTTAATAATTTCTTGTTTTGATGATTTTAATGATTATTAATCATTTTTATTAACAATTTTGTTTTTGGAACGAACCAATTGGTCAATTGTTAAATTATGCATTTTTTTAATTACACCAATAATTGGACTATATTCTATATCTTCAGAGTACTTTTTCGATGTTAATATTAACATTAATATCAAATTAATTAAAATACATTGCAATACATTGTAACTTATATTCAATTATTGCTGTATTATAAAACATTGTATAAGTACCCTGAAGATGACTATAGAATATAGTCGAAATATTGGTGTAAATAAAAAGAATATTAAAAACTAATTTTTAAATGTTTTTTATTATTAAAAAAGCAAATTTTGAAATGTTTGTTATTCATAACTATTTCATCTTTCATTATTAATAAGGTTTTTTACATTGGATATTCATTAAACCCAATGTTTATTGTATAAGCAATGATATTTAAGATCTTACCAAATTGTTAATAAGTTGGTTTATATTTGAACAATAAGTAAAAACGAAACTACTTTTATTTTTAAGTGTATTTTGAATATTAAAACTTACTCATCATGAAACTGATCTGTTGAAGTAGTTGGACTGCTATTTTTATTTATAGCTGTATTGCGTCTATTTAACAAATCTTCAATATCAACAACAACAGTTGTTGCTGTGGTTGGAGTTGTTACTGTCGATGAACAACAATTACCACTACCTCCAGCACAACCACGTACATTAGTATTATTGTTCTGGGTATTTGAAGTTGTACGTATCATTTCCTCATCATCAGATGATGATGAATAAGAAGCATTACGATGTCGATGATGTATAGTTGTATTAACATTACTATCCACATTTGATAATAAATTTGCCGTTGATATAGTCGATTGCAAATCTGACGATTCTAAAAGTATTGAAAATATTGAAATTTATAAATGATTATTGTAATTAGTAGAAAACTATAATTACCTGATTCGGGATTTGACAATTCACGCGCAAAATTTAAATACTTTTCGTAACGCTTTTTGTAACGTTGATGTAGTACCAAACAGCCGACAGTGACTAAAGAAAAATAAATGGGGTTTATTGGAAGGTTTTATGAAGTTTTAGATATATATACATATATACTAAATAAACTAAATCAGTTTGAAAACTTTATGAACATCACTGAAAAACACTAAAAATACTTTATTAAGATTTCCCAGTTTTTTTTATTAACTTTACAATCAATAAACTTAAACTGAGTCAAATCAAATTTGAAGTAATATTTCGTGTTTATAATAACATGTCAAATTGCAGGGTTAACATCATATTAAGAGTAGTTTATAAAATTTAAATTCTTAGTTATTTAATCTTACCTATGAAACACATAACTAGCAAAAACACAGAGACAGCAGCTTGTGCATTACCATATTGAAAACTTGGATTATGTTTTTCTTTCGACATAACATTACTATCAAAAGCAATCAGTAGTCCAGATATAATAGCTGGAACTCCCCAAGCAAATGTTACCTGAAATATCAAAAAAAAATTATTAACATAATACATTTAAATTTTTTATTAAAAATTATTATTAACTATATAACTCACCATATAAGGCCAAAGCTTTAGCACAAAACACAAACTGCGGCATTGTAGAAATAGCAAAGTAATCGCTAAAATGCCAGTCCATAAACGACTACTATAACTGCCTATATTAAATAGGAAGAACTGTATATAATGTTGCCATGTTTCAAAGTGTTCCAGTTTTGACCACAGAATAACACCAATGCAACACATTAGCTATAAGAGAAATAAGTAAAGGTTTATATATATAGTATAGTATTTAATATTTTTATAGAACTAAAACGTGAAACATACATATATATTAAAACTATACTATTTTGAGTACATAAAGGTTAGTATATATTTTATTTAAAAATATGTAAAGTATTAAGAAATGTAGACAAGCATTTATTTTAACACCAGTGGTTATTAACATCATCCAAATAAAAGTAATAATAACATATTTTACCTTCATATGTCCACATTGTGCAGTTTATTTTCCTTTTCTAGTGATTTTAATTAAAGTTGGTTCTTAAAAATAATCACTAACAATAACTACCGAAACCAACAATACTAAAGTTAAACTTTTAAATTAACCTCAAAGTATATTTTATAAGAATTTATAACAAAATGATGAAAAAGAAAGAATAAAAATTGCAAAAGAACTATTAGCTAAAGTAAGGTTTTTGTGCGGAAAAAAAAATGTGTTGAACGAAGAAAATAAAAAAAGGGCTAAAGTATTTGTTTAGATATAAATCTAGTATATTTTAGCTTAATGTTAATGATTGAAGTTAAATTTTTATTCGCTGTTAAATGTATAAACTAACTACAATTTGTTTTAAATAAACTATGAAAATAAAGAATATTACTTGAGAAAGCACCAAGCATGCTGTGATCCGATGTGGCATACGTTTTAGGCGTTTCGACGTTATGAGCAATAATAGAACCCAACCACAGGCTGCCACACCCGCAATACTAATGTCAAATGAAAAGGCGTCTAGTTCATGTAGATAATCCACAGGATTGAGATTCGTTAAAGAAATCATTTTCGCAGAGATAAACATTAAAGGTGCTGAAATAAATGTGCAAAGTACCATACTTTGAGCAATCTGAAAAATAAGAAGAATTTAATAAAAGATATTAATTTTGTATTTTATTTTAGTGTTTGACATACCAGTTCAACTTCAACATTGTATTGAGATGCAATAACAAAAGCGCCAGGGGCGGCTGGAAAAGTTCCATACAGAAATCCATAAGTACTTAATTCAGTAGTGTCATTAAAATCTGTACCAGCTTGCATTATATTAACTGTTTGTCGACAAACTAAAGGTAATACCAATCTAAAAACAAAAAACAGATTGATAAATAACAAATTTCATTTTTAAAAAGTAAATTTAAGTTTTAATACATTTTTACTAAAATTAGAATCCCAGGTAATAAAAATGCAGAGCCATTCAAGGATTTGTTACCGCCTTGTCCCACAATTTTCAATCCCAATAAAAATAGTGCGGTTGCAGAAAATGATTGTCCAAAAACTCGTAGTACACATGCTACCAATTCCGGTAAGCCATTGGGAAAGATAAAACCACCAGCAATACCCAATAAAGTCATAGTCAGTAATGGATTAAAAAATAATGACTTCAACATATTCAAAATTAATATGCTGCGTTCATTCAAGCATTGTCTTTGCTTTGACATTTGTTCTGCTGGACAGGTTTCAGGACATCTTGGTGCTTGTTCTCTCTGTGAATAGATAAAATTATTACATAATTATTATTATACATATACTGGGTTGTTCAACAAGTTCACGGAGTACATATCAATAGTATAACTAAAACTTTCACGTAATTTAATGTTTCACATTTTATGAGAACATAGTCAAAATCTAATTTCGATCTGTTAATTCTGTACAATAATTAAATCCTTTAAAAAAAAAAAATTTACAGGTATAGAAATTCATACTGAAATAAATATGTTAGGCGAAACTTTCAAAAACAATGATTTTTATGTGGGTTTACTATTATTTTTTTTTTTTTGTAAAACATACATTTATTTTTTGCAACTGCTCTTAGAATGAGACTAACAATAAGTTGTAAAATCTTATAACTAATTACATAATATTACAAATTCTTATTTTAACTATACATTGTATAAAATAAAATAAAACAAGTAAACCTTGTATCACGAACCTCACTTAGACTAATGGGTTAAATTTCATTGGAGAGAATGTTAGGTGGTTTCTTAAGAAAGTGGTTCAACTTTATCAAATTACTAAAAAGAAAGGTGCGGTTATTACTTAAAGTTGTTGTATATTAATTAATGGCTGGACGATCAGCTCTTTTTAGGCGGGAAGTAATGGATAAAAGTGCTAAAGGATTAACATGTTCTATCAGCCTTTTATTGTATTTTTTTCTTATATTGTCAAATTCAGCTTTAACTAGGGGAATTCGTAGATCTCGGTGTATACTTTCATTCCTAATATACCAGGGGGCACTAGTGATTATTCTTAGTATTTTTGACTGAGCTCTTTGTACAATTTCAATATTTGAAGCACTAGCATTACCAAATAACTGGATATCATAAGTCCATATTGGTTTTATGATGCTGTTATACAACAGTACTTTATACTCTAGGCACAGGGAAGATCTGCTATTAATGAGCCAATGCAACTTAGAGGATTGGAGCTTCATCTGAATTTTTTTGGCTTCAATATGTTTGCGCCAAATTAGTCGTCTGTCTAGGTGGATACCTAAGTACGTTATATTATCTGCTTGTGGTATGGGAATGTTGTTTAGTAAAATTGTTGGAGATGTACTCTGATTTAAGGTAAAAATGACGTGTCTACATTTTACTTCGTTAATTTTAATTCGCCATTTTGACAACCATTTCTCCATCCGATATAAGTGAGATTGAAGTTGGTTTGAAGCTAACACAGTGTTTCTGTTTCGCCATAAAATTGCCGTATCATCGGCAAACGTTGTGGTGATAACTGAACTACTTATTGGGATATCAGATGTGTAAAGTACATACAATATAGGGCGAAGAACACTTCCTTGTGGAACGCCAGCTTCTATTGGGAAATTATTAGAAGTATATGATTTGCATTTCACTTTAAAGCTTCTATTATGCAGATACGATTCTAGAACTGAGTGGACATTTGCCGGTAATGAATAGCGTATCTTATATATGAGTCCATTATGCCATACTTTATCAAATGCTTGTTTAACATCGAGGAATACCGCGGAACAATATTCTCTGAGCTCAAATGCGTGTCTTATTTCATTCGTTATACGATTCACTTGCTCAATAGTTCCATGTTTTTTCCTAAAATCAAACTGGTGGGACGGTATTAAGTTTTGAACGTCAAGGAACGATTTTAAATTTAAAAGCAGTGCTCTTTCAAAGAGTTTAGAAAGGCATGGCAGTAAGCTTATTGGCCTGTATAAAGAGGCAAGCGTGGGGTCTTTACCTGATTTATGAATCATAATAATCATGGATGTTTTCCACTCTGTTGGATAAAAGCCAAATTTAATTATAGCATTAAAAATTCTTGTGATAAAATTTATAGCCTAAAGGGGTAAATTTTTTCATCATGTTGGGTGAGATATTATCATATCCCGGTGTCTTTTTGCAATCGAACTTCTTTGTGATTATTTGCACAAAATCATTGGCCGTTATATGCATGTCAATAGATGGTGCATGTAGATGCTGAGTAGGAAAGTCATAATGTCCTGTTGCAGGATTTGATTGGAACGCCTCTTTTAGATAATCAGCAAAAACGTTAGATTTTTCTTCATCACTTCGCGCCCAGTTTCCAAGAGAGTTTCTTATTGGAGAATCAGAGTCTATGGGAGAATATATACCTTTGCTAACATTCCACAAAGATGAATGGTTTTTGCCATTTGGACATAGGTTTTAAATATAGTTATATTGTCTGACTTTGACTTCCTTGCTTAATGCAGATCTAAGTCTCCTTTGGGCTTCCTTAAATAAGTTTTGTGCTAAAGGGGACCTAGATTTTTGCCATTCACGCCTTAACCTACGTTTTTGTAAAACTAAATTCTCTATGTCACTATTTGTAAGTACTCTATTGAATCTGTAAATTTTATTGCCTTTAGGGGTGGAGTTTTCTGCTGCTGAAATCAGAATTGAGTTTAAAACCGAGGTTGCGTCCTCAATATGAGACTTACACTTTATCTTGTAATTTGTGTGTATGTGTGTTTGTTCTAGGACTTGTAAGGCTATAGGAACAGTCATATAACTGAGGACCATCAAGTAAGCAAAATGTAACTCGAGAATGGTCAGAAGACAAATCGCAGCTAGTGTATGTTGAGATAAAATTTTTGTTTATGCCTTTGGTTACGGCGAAGTCTATTAGGTCTGGTATTTTATTGTTATCAGCAGGCCAATATGTTGGCTGCCCAGGAGAGATTACGTCTAGTGCATTTTTTCTATTTAAAATAGAATTGTAGAGCTGTTTTCCTTTTGGATTACAGAGTCGTGAACCCCAATACGTGTGCATGGCGTTGTCTCCCACCGCAAGAAATCTTTCACCTAGAGTTAAAAAGTGATCCGTAAGTTGGGTCTCAGTAATGTTGAAGCGAGGAGGGCAGTAAACTGTCGATAAAGTTGAATTTTTTCCTGTGTGCTTAAGGCATATTGATGTGGCTTGCATATAATTATGAGCATATGTACCTAGAAAATTGTGTTTTAGACGCCTTCGTATCAAAATACCTGTACCACTATGTGCTTTGCCATCTGGGTGATTGGTTTTATAGAATAAATAACTAGGAATAGAAAAGAAATTTTTGTTAGTTAGATGTGTTTCTGAGCAAAGCATTACATGCACACTTTCTCGAGACATGAAATTTGTGAGTTCAAGTTTATGTTGGCTTAAGTCGTTTGCATTCCATGTACAAATTTTTAAAGTACTCGTTATTTAGACAAAAACATTTGCATTAATTGGCTTTGCATTTTAACTATCTCGTTAAGAGTAGTTTGCATGATTGACATGAACTGAGTTAAGCTCTGAGTGAGAGTGGAGATAAAAAGATATATGACACTCGTATATTCCAGCAAAAGGACATGCTAAGTCTGTATGTATATTTGCTAAATATTTTAAATATTTGGCTAATATATTACAAGCATGTATGTGAGGCAAGTATAGTTGAATAGGGTATAAAGTGTTGCGCATGAAATATGAAGAGCAATGTTTCTTAAGACAAGAAATATATATTAAATTTTGTTCTGGGGTTAAATTTACGTTGATAAAAATAGGCGACACTTTGCTGAAAGCACTGAAAATAACTTTAATTAAAATTGAAAATTTCACGTTCAGACAAATAAGTAACATTTGGTTGCTTAGGGTTTAGTTCGTATGAGGAATTTAATAAAATGGAATTTTGTGTTCAAGATTGTGACGACTTTGATTGTGTCGTAAAAGTTGAAGTTACAACATATGCAATTCACATATTTAACATATAATCATAATCGTATTAGGTAATGAATTAACTTTTGAATATAAGAAAAAATTTAAGTTGGCAAGGGAGCATCCTCAGTTTGGTAAAATTCGTCCTGTTTAGTAGAATAAGGCTTCATTTTCCATGCAAATTTATTTTTAAATTTAACATATTCACATTTACGTCGGAGTACACACTCACTAAATTGATGACACTTTTATACTTAATAACATTTATTTCATTTCGCAGATGAAAGTGAAGCTAAAGTCATCTCACTTTCCTAGGCTAAGAAGAAAAACTTCTGCGTAACTAACTACATTGCCTCATAATTTTCTAATTTATATTAAAATTTTCATTCTTTCACATTTTTCTTTTCATTATACGTAAATATTTTTTTATTTTATTTTTCTCCATTCCATATACACAACCCCTTATCCTCATCCTCATCCTTATCCTCATCCTTGACTTTTCACTTTTCTCTTTTATCAACATTTTTTCCATTGTTTTGTATTTTGCGTTAGTAACACGTTTTAATAATATTTTTTATTACTGCCATGTTATTTATATTATAATGAATATAAAAGGAGCAAATAATAAGCTTATCTTCTCTTTGTAATTCCTGTAATTTTACGAATAATTTTTTAATGAAGACTAAGTACACTAAGCGACACTGAAGTTATTCTGCACTTTAATCCACTGTGAACATTTTTCTACAACTATTAAGTGAAAAGGATTTATTTATATCGTAAAAAATATTTTTTCCCTTTGCTTCTTTTGTTTCTTCAGACAATAAGACCAAAAACATTTCCAGCGAAACTTTGGGTGGATATTTCAGATTGCATGCAGAGTGTCAATAAGTCCATTGCATTACCGTATGGCTATGATTATTGTGCACTTTTACAAAGGGTTTCGATTGAAGCTGACCCGGATTGTTAATTTCAATCGGTTGTAATATACTTGGTCACTTCGTACTATTGAAGCTTCAATGTTCGAAATTTAGTATAGAAGTTCGTTGTCGTCCAACGCACTTTCGTAAAGTGTTCTAAAGACACGCAGCTTTTAAAAACCTAACCGCCACATCTTCATTATATGCACTGAATATCTAGTATCTAGCTAGTACTGACTTCAGTTACCATAGCAATCAACTGACCCCAATTGTGAGCCCATGCTATCTAGCGACCGCCTTCATTTTTTGAATGTCCATTCTCCTAGTGCTGGTATGATGTTTCTCATAACCACTTATCATAAAATCTAATACAAATGGTTTTTCAAACAAATTTTCCC